CAGCCCCAGGACAGCTCTGTGCTGTCCCCGCAGTGCCCAGCCCCTCCTGGAGGCTCCCCAATCCCCCGTGGCTGCTGACGGGGATCAGGAGCCCCGGGGATCTCTGCGTGTGCTGTTGGTGTGGCAACAACTCCCTGGGGTCACAGCCCTGCAGGCAGCTGCCACCAGCAGGGCTCGGGGTGACACAGGGAAAAGCGGAGATGGGACCTGGCTCTCCATCCTCTATTTGCATTCCAAATGTCGAGCTGTTTTGCTAAGGAAATGGTGGAGGTGTGACCCCAAACAGGCTCCAAAGCCAAGTTCTCCAAGGGGAATGGTAATACTCCCCTCTTGTTTTATGATTTAGGTTGAATCACCATTCCCCCAGGACCTGGAGGGGCTGAAGCTGAATCAGAGACCTCCAAGGCTTCAGAAAGAGCCAGCTGGCACCTCACCCTGCAAACCAGCCCAGAACAGCTCTGGACATCCACACTGAGCCCAGGGCAGGCAACACAAGGAACAACAACAAGGATGAGCCTGACACAGCCTCATCCCAGAACAAGCTTCCCCCCAGGCAGGGAAATACCCCACAGCACTGACTCACCTGTCTGCTGCTCCTGGAGCCCCAGCACACCTCGGGCACTGCCAGCACCTCTGAGCAGCTGCTGTGGCACAGCCCCACCCCTGGCACCCGCAGGGAAGGGTCACATGCAGCTCCACAGGGACAGAGGCAAAAATGTCCCTGTACAGCAGTGGGGAAAGGGCTTGTGAGGTGGACGTGTCACACAAAGGGCTTGTGAGGTGGACATGTCACAGACATCTTTTATGAAAAATCTTTTCTTTAAGATTTTTCCTCCTGAGAAGCTGAGAGGCCTCAGGAACAAAATGTAAACAATGATTATCTGCTGCTTTGGAATGCAACAGGTAGATCTTTGATTAGCCCATGTTGGTTGTTTCTAATTAATGGCCAGTCACAGTGACCTGGCTCAGACAGAGAGCTGAGCCACAAACCTTTGTTATCATTCTTTCCTATTCTATTCTTAGCCAGCCTTCTGAAAAAAATCCTTTCTTCTATTCTTTGAGTATAGTTTTAATATAATATATATCATAAAATAATAAATCAAGCCTTCTGAAACATGGAGTCAAATCCTCATCTCTTCCCTCATCCTCAGACCCCTGTGAACAGTCACAGGACACGTCACACCAAGGGCTTGTGAGGCTGGACAGGTCACACAAGCCACCTCTGCACTCAGAGGGGACTGGGGGACACAAGTGCCACTGCCACACCTGATCTGTGTGAGTGGTCTCTGCACAGAGGGGCTGCAGTTCTTGAGGCATCATGAACCCATGGGTAGGTACAGACACCTCCAATGTGACACCAGGGGACAAGGATGCTGCTGAAGCCACAACAGGCATCTCTAAACATCTGTGTTTCCATCTCCATCCTCCTGCACCACAGATGGATCTGCACATGAATGACCTACCAGGACATTCAAGCCAAGCAGTGACACAGAAATCACCCCAGAGACAAACCTGAGGTTCAGTTGGTAGTTCTCTGAAAAAAACAATGGCCAAAGCTCCCCAGGGGCATAAACCCAAGGTAAAAACAGTTCTGTAGGCCAGGTGAGCTTGGTTTTTAAAGAAAACCGTAAGTTCACACCAAGATCTAGAAACAGGACCAGACCTGTCAGTGTCCATGTGCTTCAGTACACCCTCACCATAAACACTTCCAGCAGAGTGGAAATGAGAGAAGGAATTTTCTGACAGCTGTGTAAAAAGCATTTTAAACACACTGCAATCAAAACTCTTCCTTCCAGCATTTGAAAGAAGACAAGTCTCTCAGCACTTCCTAAATTACAATGACTTTATTTTTCAAGGTACTTTTTAATATAAAACAATGTCACAAGTCTAAGTGGCTTACTAGAAAGTGACTCTATAAAGTATTCTTGAAATCTATGTTCATGCACATACAAAATGCAGACAAAGAAGAAGTCAAAGCTGCTGCCAGATCCACTCTCTCTGCAGATGTGGGATCCTTCCCCTGGGGACAGCTACAGCAGCCCTTGGCGCTTCAGGTCTTCGTAGGTCTTTTTATTCACCACATTCCCACTGGAATCCTCATATTCCTCCTGGAAAAGAACCACAGTTTAGAGACTCAAATGTTAGCTCCAAGAGCAGCCACTGAACATGAGCACCCTGCCAGAACTTCTGTGCAGGAAGGCAGGCAGTGGATCTGCCAGCAGGTGCTGGGAGAAGAGCTCAGCCAGGGCCAGAGTTGTTACAGGTTGTGCTACAGATTTTACCTCCCACTTTTGCCCTGCACCCTGCTGAAAAATGGCTTTGGAACAGAAGTTTAGGAAAAGGTACCAGTGTAAGCAAGGACACTGCTCACACCCAGAACAAGGGGTTCCCATGGACACAGGAGAAGAGACACTGAATGCCTCTCACTGCTCACCTCTGTATCAGGCTGCCACCTCTCTGAAGCCTTCTGCTGTTTCAGCTTCGCCCACACTGCAAACACAAAGTCAAACAGGATCTGTCACTTCCCTCGAGATACTGGCTTCTTAAAAATACACACATGAGCTTTTTTCCCTCCCTTTTAAATCCAGGAATGCATCTAACATCCATTACAAAGGATAAATATTATAATCCATCATTCCACTGTACTATCATTCCACTGTGCTCACTGAAAGGCACTGAGCTGAAGCAAACAAGACCTCAAATGGATTTCTGGGATGGGACACAAGACCAAGGTCCAAAGCCACCCTTTCAGAAAACGTGATGCTCTTTAACATGTTCCCTGCTCTTTAACATGTTCCCTGCCCTGCCATCACTACTTACATGAGACTGCATCCTCAATCTGTGTGACATTGGCAAAGTGAGCTGTGTTGGGGATGCCCAGGCACCGCATGCCGTGGGCATGTCTCCACTCCTGGGGGAAGAGATGAGATCAGTGTGAGAGGGAACACCACAAGACATTAACATCTAAACAGGGTGCAAAACATGTTATCACAGTACAAATCCACCAGTCCTCTTTAAAAACATTATTTTCTTGTCCTGCAGTCAGTAACACCACACCAGCCATCAACAGCCACACTGCACTCATCAGACTGAGCACTGGGTGTTCAAATGGGCAGGGATGGCAGCAAAAGTGATCTCTGTATGCCTGACACCATTTCTGGGTTCTGTTGCATTGCCCTGCAGCACAAGCTCAGACCCACATGGCAAAAATGCTGCTCAGGGACCCCAGGGACTCATTACAATGCAAGAATGAATGCAGCAGGGCTGTCACTTACTGCAAAGTGCCTCTGGAAAGCCTTGGGCCCTCGGTAGGTGTAGTTACCACAAATCTCACAGTTGTAGTTGATGTTCAGTCCATGGAGTTTATACAACCAGTAAGGGATGGGCTGCAGCAAGGAGAAAGCAGGATTAGGCCACATGGCAAAGAAACTCAAACAGAGAAGCAGCGTGGAGTCAGTGACCTGTCCCACTTCTCCAGGCCTGCTAAGTTTCAGTTACCTTCCCATCCCAGCCAAGAGGCAGATTTTTAGGATTATAAATGATTTCATTTTCTTCATCTTCACTCTCGCTCTCGCTGATCTGCTCCTCCTCCTCCTCCTCTCTCTCCTCCCCTGTCCGTGCCTGCTTGCGCTGCACGTTCTCGTGGGTGAGGTGTCTCTGTTCCTGGAGGGGAGAAAGGAAGGGACTGTCCACACATCATGGCAGCAAAAAGTCAGGCAAAAAGGCACTCTTGTAGCCAAAAACTCCCTCAGTGCACAGAGGAGGAAACAAGACCAGTGTGAAGCAGAGAATTCCCACCTTACAGAGCCAAACAGTTTCAGTTTTTAGTACCCTGACATTTGCTATTTGTAAAGAATGAAACCTTGTATCACCTATTAGCACTTCCAGTGTTACCACAGCAGCAGCC